GTGCAACTTGGACTTCTTCCTTCAATACCATCGGTTCTTGATCATACAGTACCTCCTGAAATGGATGAATGTCGACCAATTCTTTTTGGTACAGTGACTTTGTGTATTCCTTCCATCTTCTTCTGATGCTTCCTGCGTTATTCAGTATTTTGTCCATAGATTCCTTCAAAATTGCAATTCAAGGCTTGAATTTTTTCTTCAGTTCTTTCAGCTTGAGAAATGCCGAGTGTGTTCTTCCCTTTTGGTTTTTTAATTTCAGGTCTTTGCACATTCCATTATAATACCTGACTGTGTCTTCTTGAGCTGCCCTTTGAAATTTTCTGTTCAGCTCTTTTACTTCATCATTTCTCCCATTTGCTTTAGCTAGTCGACGTTCAAGAGCAAGTTCAGAGTCTCTTCTGACATCCATTTTGGTCTTTTTTTTCCTTCCTGTCTTTTTAATGACCTTTGCTTTCTTCATGTGTGATGTCTTTGATGTCATCCTGCAATTCATCTGTCTTCGGTCATAAACGTTCGAAGCGTCAAATCTATTCTTGAGATGGTCTCCAAATTCACGTGGGATATACTCAAGGTCATATTTTGGTTCTCGTGGACTTGTTTTAATTTTCTTTAGCTTCAGCTTAAACTGGCATATGAGCAATTGATGTTCTGTTCCGCAGTCGGCCCCTAATCTTGTTCTGACTGATATTGAGCTTTTCCACTGCCTCTTTCCACAAATGTAGTCGATTTGATTCTTGTGTTTTCCATCCGGTGAGGTTCACAAGTATAGTCACCGTTTATGATATTGAAAAATAGTATTTGCAATGAATAAGTCATTGGTCTTGCAAAATTCTATTATGGGATCTCCTGTGTCGTTTCTATTACTTAGTCAGCTAGTGCTGCTATGATAGAAATACCACAGTGGATGGCTTTAACAAAGCCAAGTTTATTTCCTCACAGTAAAGTAGGCTAAAAGTCCAAACTCAGGGCATCAGCTCCAGGGGAAGGTTTTCTCTCTCTGTTGGCCTTCTCGTCAATGTTCCCTCGGACTAGGAGCTTCTCTGAGCAGGGACCCGGGGTCCAAAGGATGCGCTCTGCTACCGGCACTGCTTTCTTGGTGGTATGATGTCCCCATCTCTCTGCTCACTTCTCTCTTTTATATCTCAAGAGACTGCCTCAAGACACAATCCTATCTTGTAGACCGAGTCCTGCCTCACTAACACAACTGCCACCCAGTCTCATTAACATCATAGATGCAGGATTTACAACATATAGGAAAATCATACAATACCAGGAATCACGGCCCAGTCAAACTGACACACATTTTTGGGGGGACACAATTCAATCCATGACAATCGCCAAGGCCATATTTTCCAACTACAGATCCTTCTTCGTTTCCAACTTTTGCATTACAATCACCAGTAGTTATCAATGCATCTTGATTGCATGTTTGATCAATTTCAGACTGCAGATGTTGGTAAAAATCTTCAATTTCTTCATCTTTGGCATTAGTGGTTGGTGCGTAAATTTGAATAATAATCATATTAACTGGTCTTCCTTGTAGGCATATAAACATTATCCTATCACTGACAGCGTTGTACTTTAGTATAGACCTGAAATGTTCTTTTTGACAATGAATGCAATGCTATTTCTCTTTAATTTGTCACTCTCAGCGTAGTAGACCATATGACTGTCTGATTCAAAATGGCCAATACTGGTCCATTTCAGGAACAAGATAGGAACCTTAGGGGGAATGAATTTATGTTAATGAGGAAGGAACAACTCAGAAAAGGAGGATGAAAATGGTTGCACAACTTGAAGAATGTAATCAATGTCACAAAACGGTAAATGTAAAAACCGTTGAACTGGTGTATGTTTTGCTCTGTATATGCTCAACAACACCAAAATAAGTAAAATTTAAAATAAAATAAAAAAGTATTTAAAACTAATTTGGAAAAGAAACATCAGAGGAATATGTCATATCACTCAAGGCTACTTAGCAGTAGTTCATTTACTCTACTCTAGTTTTCCTATTCTGTACCCATATTACTCGTGCAGTGTGTCACTGAAAGTTTTTTTATAATAAAGCCTTAAAAAAAATATTTCCCTATATACAATACTGCCACAAGTTACCTAAACTATCCAATATCAGAAGAATTGCTATATGATTCAAGAAACTCCATAAATTTTAAAAGAGAAGTACAGATTTTAGATTTCTATCAGAATTCTAAATACAATGATTACTTCAGAAGCCACTGAATCAGGGTATCCGGTATCTTAATAAGAGTTAAGAGAAAAACTCAGAATCATAAGATTGATTTTATCCTAAGATAAAATGGCAAGACCTTTATATGTTTGTCTTAGTCATCTAGTGCTGCTATAACAGAAATACCACAAGTGAATAGCTTCAGCAAAGAGCAATTTATTCTCTCACAGTCTGGTAGGTTACAAGTCCAAATCCAAGGCGTCAGCTCCAGGGGAAGGCTTTCTCTGTTGGCTGTGGAGGAAGGTCCTTGTCATCAGTCTTCCCTTGGTCTGGGAGCATCTCAGAGCAGGAACCTCAGGTCCAAATGATGAGCTCTGCTTCCGGCACTGCTTTTATGGTGGTATGAGGTCCCCTAGTCTCTGTCTACTTCCCTTTCCTTTTATCTCTTGTAAGATAAA